GGAATTGTTCTTTCTTCGCAGGACCAAGAGTACTTTAAGGATTAAGACCAGCAACAGTGATCACTTTCTCTCTCTTCACGCTCTCAGCTTCAATTATTGAGTCTTTCTTGTAATCACTTGTGGTACTCCAGACTAAGATGTATTTTCCTCTTCCCTACTTTGAATAGTTGTGGACATGTAAGAGAACTTGTCTTTTCAGAGTTTCTTTATCTATCTAGTTCCTTTGTTATTTTAGTTACATGCTCTATGTAGTAGTTTTTTTAGCAATATATCTGTATACAGGAGGATCCAGAGGCGTGAATGTAATCGTATGGTTGCATTGCCGACCGAGTCGCGCTCCAAATTATCACGTTTTAGACCCGGGGCGTGACAAGGTTTAATTGGTATCAGAGCCTAGGTTAGATAACTGGACTCTCATCCTGTACATAACTATTGGATCTTTTAAAATAGGAATAGGAGTCTGAGCATGTATAATATTAGGGTCGTTCCCTCTTGCAATATCTTTTGCGCTTACTCCTTTGATTCTGCATCCAAATCCATTTCCATCTTAACAGTTAATTCTTTTCCCTTCTCAAGCCAAGTGTATACGGACTTAGTCAATGTGCATAGATAGGGCTTTTGTAGACTAGCCCCAAGCTTCATAAGTTAAGCTAGCATGAAAGTTTATCCAGCCACTAGCCCTCGCATTGGCAACAACTACAAGTTCATGGCTGCCTGTTTGGAAGAAGTTATCTCAGCCAACGGATTAACTAAATTTTAACCATTTAGCTCCAGCTAGTTCATATGACTGAACTTGGATGTTCTTTATATGCTAACCAATTATGATATTAGTAGACTTGAAAACTTTTTAATTTCCTCCAGCTAGACTAGTATCTTAGCACCATTATGTCATGTGAGAGGAATGTTTTTAAGCTTAGCTCGATGTAGATATACATGTAAGGCAAATCCATTTGGTGACGTATGTACAATTGATTATCTAGATTATAAATTCTGAATGTGGTTCGTGCTTGATAATGTGCATGGTATCCAAGAATGTGAAATCATGTGGATGATATTGAGGGTATATATTGGAAACTTGATTTTGTGAGATAACAGCCATATAAAGTTAAGATTGGAAACTTGATTTTGTGAGATAACAGCCATATAAAGTTAAGTATTTGATTTGAAGATATTATATGATTATGTACCCAGTATATGATCGAGATAATTTGATTTGAAGATATTATATGATTATGTACCCAGTATATGATCGAGATAATACATGATGCTTGATATCTATAAAGATATATTAATACTTGTGAAGTGCCATCGAACTATGATTCCAACCACATGTCTATAAGTTTAAGAACTACAAGGAAATTTTTTTTCAAGAAAGGTCTCAGGATAAGATCTACCAGTTTTATATTAGTATCAAATTTTCTTATGTTATACATGTTTATGATGCCATAGTGTTGAATGTCAAGCGAGTCCTTCAAGACACCATTGTAACATTGATATTGAGATACATGTTTTAGTGAGAGGGGGCTCGTGATCTTCCTCCACTGGATTGTGATTGGTGGTGGTCTTAAGGGTGACGATCCTTAGGACCAAACTTGGAAAAGAATTGGTTTACATGTATCACGTCTTGAATGATCTCGCAGGGGATTCATACTATGGAGAGTCATTCCAATAACCTTATAGTATGTGGTATGAGATATATACGATGACAATCTATATTTGGGTACCACATCTATTTATCTCCGGTAAAGTTTTGCTTCTCGTGTGCTTTGATTAAATTTCGAGGACGAAATTTCTTTTTCTTAGGTGGGTAGGATGTAATAATCCATTTTTTAACAGCAAATTAATAGATTAAATGGAGTAAACATGCAAGGTCTTATATAGGAGGTCCACTTGATATGGAATTGGAAAAAAAAACAATTTTCCTTAAGGCCCATTTGTGTGAAGTTAACCTAGCAAGACCATGTATGCAACTCCATCTTCTGCAGGTTCTGTTGCATGATTTGTGATTCTTATTATTATTATTTTAATTATCTTGTATTAATATTTTAGCCTACACCCTTATCTTCTTGTTACTGGGCTTTTCCCCTCTCTCTCATTATTTTCTAAATGAGCCATATATATATTTTCCCTCACATGCCAATCAATCAGTTATTTATCTCCCCTTAATATTCTCCTTTGAATTATTTCCATAACCTCCCTAATAATTTCTCTAATCAATCCCCTAATCACTCTCCAATCACCCCATAATCATGTTTATTTCATACCATATTTCCTCATGTGATTTTCTATCTCTTCTATTATTTCTCTCTCTCTCCAATTATTTCAGATCCAGCTCTCCTTCAACATCTCTCTCGTTCGCACTCTCTCTCCCCCCAAAAGAAACCCAACCCCCTGCTCCATCTTCACAACCATCCTCTTCCACCTCCTCCTTCCCTAAAGAACCCAAATCCGAAGCTCTATTCCCTACGTGCCTCCAGCCACCATCGCCCCATCAATCACGCCCTCGACGACCACACAACCACCAGCCTGAGCTCACCCCCACTCTGACCCCCGTCGCCACGCATCGCCCCTGCCCTTCGCCCAGCGCCTTCCCTCGGCCGAGCTCACCCCCGCTGCCGAAACGCCACCAGACCCGTAGTCCCAGCTGCACCCAAACATGCACCCTCTCTACACCTCCATCGCATGCCACATGTTCGACAATATGCCAACACAGATCCAATTCCGCACACCAACAGCCCCATCGAACCCCGTTGAGCTCCCTCAGTGATGACAACCGTTGTTGTTGCCGTCCCCAAACATCGCCTTCACCCTCTCGACGGCAAGCATTTTTATCCTTCAACTCTTTTATTTTTCTTGATCGTCTTATATTTCATAATCGACAAGCATATTTTCTATTTTTATTGTTCTCATATCTTTTTGGAACTTCACCTTTAATTCTCTGTGTGCTTGGTAAATATTGCTACATTTTCCTATACTGTTGAGCATTTCTGGAAGCAACCTAATTTATCTTGAGTCTCTTAAATAATAAGTAGCAGCTTAATTAAGTTTGCTGCTCTTGGTTGCTTAAACCATGAGATTCGTATTTCCAGAATTAATTCTACTCCTATTACAAGTCCTAGCTGTTTCGGGATTATAGTTTGCCCAACATTTTGGAAACAATTTTTGTGGAACAACAAGGCTCTGAAAGGAGGTACAATGCTCTTATGTTGATACGTGAACTTGCAGTGGCTAGCAAATGAAACAGATAGTTTTATGTCTTTAATCTCTCAACATCATCATCATCTTTTTGTCCACTGCCATAATCATTTGTTGTTTAATAGAAGTAATCCAATTCACAGTAGGAACAACCCAGCCTAATGGCATTTCTTTCTATTTAATATGTTCCACTATACCTGTGAATGCTTCCTTGTATGAATATATGTGCATATTATAAAAGTGACACCTCTTAAGGAACTGCACAAACATATTCATAACCGGCACTGTCCTTACCCATGTGCACAAGAAAACATGCATTTTTATATATATTAAGGAGCTTAAAGTAAGCTAAGGATTAATCAACCAGACTTAAGTAATCTAGTAGCTCTTGATAGGGAGATACTTTGATTGATACTTTCTCTATGTCAGGGGCCAATTGCCTGCATATATTATCACTTTTGCCTACGTGTCTAACATTTTCCATGGTCCTCTGTGCTTACACCTCCCGTGATATATATATATATATATTAGTTGATGAACTGACTAACTTCAAGAAACACAAGCATATATTAGTTGACTGAGGGTATATGTATATTAGTGTCCATTTTCTTATCTAATCTACACAAAAGTTGTTACCTCCTCCTCAAAGATAGATGTAAGTGACTGGTAAATCATGGCTAGTATATGCTGAATGGTATTGATAATGGAGATCACATGAGATGTCATGATTAGATTAAAACCGGTTTATACATATAGTACTTATCTTGTTTGATATTGTGGTTGACATGCTTGACTTTTTGAAAATTGTTGTTTGATCACCTAGTTGTCATCCATAGGAGAGATTGTGCATGAAGACGACTCCTGCTAAAATGTGATTTATAAGCGTGCTTTCATAGCATGGCTATTCTCTCGATATCGATATCCCGATATGAGATTTTTCCTTGGCTATTACTATTGTAGCATAGACTAGACAATGCACCCATCTTGATTGGACATGTTCTGGGTCACGGTTATTTTCATAGGTTTATAGAAGTCGTTCCACGGTAACTTTGTGGTTTGTGCACAACATTTCATGCACAGTCATTTAAAATTTAATCGACAAACATGGGATTTATAAAGGGGAATTAGATGAAGAATAACATGTATATAAACGAGCATATGCGCATTCCAGATATCCTGAGTTATATATATACATGGGCCAAAGAGCTACTTCCTGACTTGAAGCCGTGTTCCCGGGACGGTTTACGGGGAACCGATTTATATACATGAAAATATTCTTCTCTAATTCAGATAACATAAAATAAAATAATGTGCTTATATGCTTTGTGATAGATTTGGCATGCACGACATGTCCTGGATGAGATGTTGGTGATGTATTTTTTTTATATTGTTTGTTTATAGAATTTCGGGAGTTGATATTTAGAGGCTTACAATTTGAGATATATGATATATACGAGGGTTTCCTTGTTTGGATTATTCTCTCCCCGTACTCATCTCGTGTTGTGGGTTTCTAAATCTTAACTCCTTTTAGTACAGGGTATAAGATATATACTTGAGGTAGACCATGATTGATATCTACAATTAGCTATTTTCCCTTGTCATCTTTGATTGAGTTTTCATCTTATTTTTGATCTCATGATTTAGCCTTTTCTTTTATCACTATAAATTTAGAATTCATCTTTTCTTTATCCCTGCCACATACACTTACATGCGCACAATTTCCTCATTTTTCATGATTGCTGGGAGTTTTCTGACTCCCCTGGGGTTTGCATGCCCCAGACTTAGGAATTGTTCTTTCTTCGCAGGACCAAGAGTACTTTAAGGATTAAGACCTGCAACAGTGATCACCTTCTCTCTCTTCACTCTCTCAGCTTCAACTATTGAGTCTTTCTTGTAATCACTTGTGGTACTCCAGACTAAGATGTATTTTCCTCTTCCCTACTTTGAATAGTTGTGGACATGTAAGAGAACTTGTCTTTTCAGAGTTTCTTTATCTATCTAGTTCCTTTGTTATTTTAGTTACATGCTCTATGTAGTAGTTTTTTTAGCAATATATCTGTATATAGGATGATCCAGAGGCGTGAATGTAACCGTATGGTTGCATTGCCGACCGAGTCGCGCTCCAAATTATCACGTTTTGGACCCGCAGCTTGACAATTTTTATTAGCTTCTACTTCTAACATGGTATTATTCTTATCATGAGTCAAACTTGCAATATCCAATCTTAATTTTTCATTGCATTCTTTAAGATTAACATTTTCATTTGCAATGAAATCAAAATTAGATACAAGGGACTTATGATTGGATTTTATTTGAACATGCTTTCTTTTTAGATCTTTAAAATTATGTTTCAATTTATTATAGTTATGCAATAATTTTTCATATTCATGTGCGAGTTCATCAAATGTAAAATCATCATTGTTATCGGACTCGCATACCTCACTAGGGATATCGCCTAGTGGTCGTGTACATGAAGATGATGCTCCTTTTGAACTTAAAGCCGAATCCTCCAAATGTTGTCAGATTACCTCCAAGTCCCCTTGATGTGCTTCTATTAATTTCCATAACGTATAAGCACTATCAAAAGAATCAAGTTTGTTAGCAAAAGATAAGCCAAAGGCATCAATTAGAAATCTTAACAAGGACTTGTTCATAGCAAACAATCTATTATCATTACTACTCCACTTGGATTTCTCCGTAGTGGGTACAATATAAGCGCATTCAATAATTTCTCATATATTAATATTTGTAGATTTAGCAAAAATATTAAATCTAGACACCATTATTCATAGGGGAAATTACTAATTATAGGAGCAATGTTAATAGCATAGCCAAGACTAGGTGCATCGTGCATATCCATGATATGTGCAAGCAAAAAACAAATATCAAAATAAGATTAGCAACAATAACAAGAATAAGGGATCTTTAACTCAAGATGGTTAAACCTCAAATCAAAGAGCACCAAGCTCTGATACCAATTGAAAGTACCCTAGAGGGGGTGTGAATAGGGTTATTGCTAATCTTATTAGATATTAATGCTGATTAAAACTTATTAATAAATTATTCTTACAAGATAGATATACAAAGTGATATGAGCAAGAATAAGCAATATAAACAAAGTGCAATATCCTAATAATGAGATATACAATGAGATATATGTAAGGATAAGCAAAAACAAATATGATAGGGCAATATAAACAATGAGCAAAGGCGAATAAAATAGACTAAGCAATAGACACGAATGATATGCCAATGCAAACTCTAACACACAAAGATAATCACGGAGTTCGGACCTTCCGTCCTACATCTCCGCTCCCCACTCCCGTGGAGAAATCCACTATCACAACCGAGTTTTTTACGCTCACCCGAACAACGTTTATACCTCACAATTTAGTTTTCTAGTTCACCAAAAACTTTATAACACACATAATTGCAATCACACTCTACACCCTCTAAGTATTAGTCTCTAGCCCGTGTTTCCCTCAAGTACTCGGAATTACGATCTACCTCTAGGCATTACTACCGACGCCACTCCTCTTGGGACAATCCCATCTCTCACCATACACTCCTCTCGGTGTACAAGTGTGATACAACGTGTAACTCATAATTAAGCATAATTACAATAAAATGTTCTCTAATTGGATGAGAACTCAATGTAAGCTCAATCTCGCAAATCACAAACCCATAACCCAATATATGATGTATGAAAAGCTACAAGCTTAAATAGGGTGTGTGTGATAAAATGAGTATAAATAAAATCCTAACTCAATTAACAAACTAGTAATAATAAGAATATGAAAAACATTAATAAAATTGTTAGAGAAAAGAGTTAGAAAAACTTCTCTATAAACACAAAGAGGTTGATGAAGATTGAGGATGAATTCCTCAACTGAAAATACAAGCCTCTTCTTTGTAAACTCAAACACCAAACTTAAACTTTGAGAAATAAACTTTTAAACACATCAGTCGACTGACGACCTTATCAGTCGACTTTTGTAGGTATTTTTAGCTCATCAGTCGACTGACAACCTTATCAGTCGACTGACAACCTTATCAGTCGACTGATGACCACATCAGTTGACTGGTCAGTCGACCAAAATAAAATAGAAACTTTTGAAGATTACAGGCATATTTTTCAGTCGACTTATCAGTCGACTGATGTCATTAGTCGACTGATCAGTCGACTGATAATAGGTTATCAGTCTGAAAAGATTTTTTTAAAAATGAATTTTAAAGCTCTTTTAAAAATAGCAAATAAATTCCAAAAAATATAAAACTTTGGGAAAAGTTTATAACCATGATTACGAACTTGTTGGAAAAGGAATTTTTAAATTTGCTCTTGCCATTTGTGAAAACTCAGAAATATTCAAAAGTGCTAAAATACATGTTTTTCAAATATGTGGTTTTAGCCATTTTAGCTCAAACCAAGTTCTGAAAACTTGTGTAATCATTTTATAGACATAATAAAAGATGTTAGCATGGTTTTTATAGTCCAAAACATATTTGAATGTATTTTACATAAAAACACCTATTTTCATGAAAATTCACAAATGTAATGTGTGTGTATATTTGAGCTTATAGAATTAACACGTATTATATAAACCTTAAACTAATTTATCCAAGCTTGATAGATCTTCATTGTAGCTTGACTTGGTTGTGGATGAAGCTTGACTTGGAATCTTTAACTTGAATTGCATGGCTTCATTCCACTATTCCGCCAACCTCCATTTGATATGATCGTGTAGGCTCAATCCATCCAACCTTCAACTTATTGTTTGTTTAAAATACCTAATAAGAAAACATAAACACTAGACAAACACTATTAGAAATTGTTTGTAATCATCAAAACAAGATTAGAAGATGTAGGCTCATAACATGAGACCTAACACTCTCTAGCCGCGGGATCAGCACTAAGTCCAACCGTGCCGCGCTGACAGGGCGATGCTCTCCACGCCACCGCCACCTGTGACAATGCCTGCTCCGCCCCCAACGCAGCGCACAGCCTATGCCAAGCGTCATGCGCGGCCGAAACTGATCACAAGGTCCGTACAAGCTGCAGGCGCAGCCTCCGCCAGAGCTCGCACCTCTAGCACATCTCAGCCGCTCACTGTCAACAACCGCTATAGCCCTCCTCTCCCATGCAGCCTCCGTTGATGCCACAGCACCGAGCTCCTCCCGCAACAACACCATTGCCTCGTCCGCAAGCCCTTGGCCCGTAGGAAAGATCCCTTTTCTATGATCTTTTTTATTCATTTTTTAATTCTTAGTTTTGTCGTAAATTAATTATACGCAATATCCCTATTTCCCGTTTATTCTTTCGTACAATTTTTAGATTTGTGAATTATGCATAAGATTCTGATTTTAGATTAGTTTATTGTAATTCTTATATTTGTCATGCGAATTTACATTTTTTAACTGTTATTTATTAGAATTTTGGATCTGTTAATAATTACCTGCGTGGGTTTGATGAATAATATTGAATGAATCATAATAATGTGATATAGTATTTTCAGAATAATTATAATAAATTAAATAGTTTATTTTGACAATGGGATTATTTTAGGATAATTATAGTATTTAAAAAAAAAGTTATTTTGAGAAAAGGAATCATTTTAGAATGATAAATATTTTTAAAAGAATTTATTTTGGGAAAATAGACTATTTTTAAATAATGAGAATTTATCTTGTAAAAAGATTATTTTTAAATTTATGAATTTATTATTTTAAAAGATTATTTTTAGAATAATTATAATGAGAGATAATTTTAAAGGGATATATTTTGTAGAAGAATTATTTATTTTGAATTAATTTAGTTTATGAACGTGTGATGGATGGTTGTTGACCGTGGCATTTTATGTGTAAAACATCCGCTAATTCTTTGATTCTTATTTTATATACGTGATATACCATGTTTTAATTGCATAGAATAAGATGCATTTATTATTTCCTTCTTGTGATTGAGAACCATTAGTAGTTCATGACTTAGTGGCCTTGCGCGTCATGAACAAGACTTAGTAACATGTGTGGGTGCGTTGACTAAATTAGGAGGTGAACCAGAACTCTATTATAGGTCGTGTTTGTTGACTTAGAAAAACATGAGATGTTAGGGTGGAAAAGTCTTAGTTCTCATGATCGGATGTGGTAGTTGATTTATCTTCTATACTCGCACCAGTGACCTATTTTGTCCTGGGGTTGGTTTGTTAGACCAAGTAGACTATTTCGTCACTTTGGTCAGTGACATGTTTCGTCACCTGAGATTTTCTTGAGTTTGACCATGCCAAGATCAGATTGCGTATAGTCCTCTCACTTACTGTTTTCTGGTAATGCAAACTTTGACCTATTTGAGATGTGGACCAGTGAGCTATTATAGGATGGTTAGTAGCATGACCCCATTCCTGGATGATTTGATTGATTATTATAATCTAGTAGTGATTTGCATTTAGTGGTTAGAATTACAGTTGCATACTTCTATTTTTATTATTATTGTCATTGTATTGGTCATTCGATCATTTCTCTTCTCCCCTGTGGGATCCTGTCATGTGCCATGCATGCTGACATGCACCTGCTTTCTCTGGTGTATGCCAGATTTAGAGGATAGACAGGTCTAGTATGGAGATGCCTTGCAGTCGGAGTGTATTACAGATGGAGTAGAAGAGCAACCTGAAGCTTAGTCTTTTCTTTTCGTAGTTGCTGATGGATATTAGATTAATCATATAGTACATTCTCTTTTAGTATTTGAGGGATTTAGTTATTTTTGTAGTACTTCCTTTCATTTCTGTTGGACTATGTATTTTTCATATTTTGTTGGACTATTTTGTAATAAGGGCATGTTTGACCCAAACTTTGTGTTTCAGATGATATTCCATTTGTGATATGACTTTTCTATTTTGAGTTATTTATTATATTCTTACTAATTGTGATTGAGGACCTGTGACTTCGTATTTTATATTGCTTGACGGTTAGCGTATTAGATTGAGTAGAAGGTCTAGTACTTATTTCTCCTCAGTCTAATACGTCGCAGGCTTGTTCACATTCCGATTCCACGATATTTTGGGAAGCGGGGCATGAAAGAGTGCCTTAGTGATACTTCATTTGACTCGATGTATTGAGACATATTACACTTGTTCCCGTTTCAGTTCTATTGTATTTTGTTCATTTGATACATGATATTATTATTTAGCTATCTCTTCTATATTCATCATGATCATTGCACTACTATCATGTTCTCTTGCCTATTTTGTACCTAGTACCTACCCTTCTTTTCGATTCCACTAGAGGATATTACTATGATTGGTAAAATGTGTTAATGTACTATGTGGGTGCATGGTAGGTTTAACATCCTTGGATGCACCTTGGACTATAGCCTTGTGTGAACCCACGGGCGTCCTAGTTGGTATCAAAACTCTAGTTTCAGTATCTTTAGGATCATCTAATGTCGAGTCATGGAGCTAGGATAGAGTTTTCTAGGATTCATGTATAGAGTTCGCTAGGAATTCCTAGAATAAGTGAGGACGTAATACGTATACCTCGAAAATTATGATTTTTTTATGACTATCTTACTTTGATTGAAAAGTATTTGTGTGAATACTATGTGATATGTTATGTTATATATATATATATGTTTGCGACCTTATTTACTGTGTCTACTAAGCTCTCCTCTTGATAGTATGAATTTCTAGACAAGGATGCGGTCGAGATAAAACTCATACCCAGAGAGCTGGGCAAGCAGAGCCTGAGCCGTAGCTGGCTCCACATTATCAGATCGACTCGGTAATGTCGATTGCAGAAGTTGAGACTAGCAACACTCGAGGAGTGAGTAACGAGCCACATTATATTTTCTGGAGTTCCACCACCAGTTGTACTAATCATGCCTATTAAAGAGGCAATACCAATGATTTTACCATTACCACAATCAGCTATTGATAGAGCCGCAGAGCAGGAGGCTTGGTTTTATAAGAATAAGAAAGCCATCAGACACTAAGAGCACCATAGTTTTAGGGCACACCGGATTCATGTACAACCTAGAAATGAAAGAAATATGTGAAAATTTCTTAACGTCGACTTAGTACTAAAGCAGAGTTAGATGTATTCAGTGTAGAGGATATCACTAGAGGATATCACTGAAGGATAGCATCAGAGGATGGCACCGACTTTAGATTTTCATCGGAGCAGCGAATACCACTTATTTTGAAGAATTTTGTTTGCTTCTTTGATAAGCAGTAGAGCTAGTCCGATTAAAGCAGGGAGATATGCCTGTAGTTAATTATGGAATCAAGACCAGCATAGTGACAGTGGCAAGGGAAAAGGACCTATTGCGGAATCTAGAGAACCCTAGCAGCGAGGTAAGGGTTTTTACCGCCAGCAACATGGACAGCATAAGAAGAGAGAACAACCTACAACATGATTCAAGAGCGCCACAACAGCGCAAAATTCGGCGTATATATTACAATTGTAACAAGATCAAACATAGAGCGAAGGATTATCGCAGTACACCAGCAGGAGGCCAACATGATAGAGGTTAGAGTTAGTATTCTCAGGGCCGCAGTTACCTGCTAGCTGCAGAGGATTTGAGGCACCTCTTTCCTTCTTGAGGATTGAGGGGTCAGTAGGCCAGATTCATGCCATCCAGGAGATTCCTGAGGGACAGTCAGTCCTATTTGTTCCACCGCCATCAGCGTAGCAATCGCTAGCCACCGGCAGGGTTTATGTAGTTGTACCACGTGATCATGATGCGAGCAGAGCTTTCTTAGTGATTTCCATTCCAGCTCGGATCTTGTTGATTCAGAAGCTTCGCATTCTTTTATCTATCATGATGTCATGATTAGACTTTGGTTTATAGCGCAACCTTTAAGCGTTTCATTATCAGTTTTTACTCCTTTGGGAGAGGTGTCTCTCTTAGAGAGTATCTATAGGAGATGTGTTGTCAGTTTAGACGAGTCTGAGTCCGTGGTCGATTTAATCGTCCTGCGAATGTCCGAGTTTGATGTTATTCTTGCTATGGATTGGTTGTTATCCTACCACATTAGTATAAACTATTTTGCAAAGACAGTTAGCTTGTGAGCATTCGATGGGTTTGAATAGATAGTAGTAACCTCATAGGGTAACCATAATGCGGAGTCATTTCTGGCATACGTCGAGGATGTGATGATATAGGATCGGGGTGCAGATTTGAGCAAGACCAGAGTCATCTCAGAGTATCATGATATCTTTTAGGATATACCTAGATTACCTTTAGTGAGAGAGGTTGAGTCCTACATTGAGTTGTAGCCGGACACAGTACCGATATCTCGAGCATCCTATCATATGGCACATGCTGAAATGAGGGAGCTACAGACTCAGCTAGATAAGTTGTTAACTCAGGGTTTTATTTGCCGGAGTCATTTTCATAGGAGCATCGGTCCTCTTTGAGGAGAAGAAGGATGGGAGCATGTGATTATATATAGATTATCGTGAGTTGAATAATGTCACTTCCTATATCAGGTATCCACTATCGAGGATTTATGACTTGTTCGACTAGCTGTGAGAAGCACAGTATTTATCGAAGATTGATCTTTATTCTGGCTATTTTCAGTTGCGAGTGTGGGAAATGGATATTCACAAAACCACCTTTCTAACTCGATATGGGTCTTTTGAGTTTCTTATCATGCCATTTAGGCTGACCAATGCACCCGCGGTATTCATGGATTTTGTGAACCGGGTTTTTCGTCCATGTTTGGACCAGTTTGTGGTTGTTTTGTCAATGACATCCTTATCTATTCAAGATTGGAGGTAGAGAACGAGCAGCATCTTCGTTTGGCATTACAAACTTTGCAGGAGTATCAGTTATACGCCAAGTTTATCAAATGCTAGTTTTGGCTATTTGAGGTTAGTTTTTTTGGTCATGTTATAAGCAAGAAGGACATTGCAGTGGATCTAGCTAAAGTGAAAGTAGTACTTGATTGGGAGCCACCAAAGGTAGTTACAGAGATTTGTAGTTTCTTAGGTCTGGCTGGCTATTACAGGAAGTTCATTCATGACTTCTCGAAGATTGTGACACCACTTATACACATTAACAAAGAAGAGTGTACCATTTGTTTGAGGCATAGAGTGTTAGGATGCCTTTGAGACTTTAAAGACTAAGTTGACTACAGCGCCAATATTGACTATTTCGAGCAGTGATTAGACATTTGTGGTCTACACAGATGCGTTGTTAGCGGGTCTAGGAGGTGTTTTGATGCAGACCCAGAGAGTTGTGGCTTATATTTCACAATAATTGAGGACGTATGAGTAGAATTATGCCACACATGACTTAGAGCTAGCAGAAGTGGTCTTCACACTAAAGACACGTAGACATTACCTGTACAGAGTATGGTTCAAGCTATTCATGGATCACTAGAGACAGCGATGATGGGTCGTATTTATCAAGGATTATGAGTTTGTGATTCAGTATTGTCCAGTGAAGACGACTTATATAGTAGAAATGTATGCGAGGATATTTATTCTGGAGATCGTGAGACTGCATGGAGTTCTAGAGACGATTGTATCAGATCGACGTTCAGTTTTCACTTCACATTTTTGGAGGAGCATCCAGAATTCATTCGATAGCTAGTTATCATATTCTAGTGTGTTCTACCCACAGACAGACGAACAAACGGAGAGAGTCAACCAAGTATTGGAGGATAATGCGGACGTACGTTATTGATTTTTAGGGTAGTTGGGAGGATCACATCCTATTAATTGAGAATGTTTATAACAACAGTTATCAAGCAACTATTAGCATGACACCGTATAAAGCACTGTACGGGAGGCCTTGTAGATCACCTATCTATTGGGCAGGACCAGAGGAAAGCTTATTGCTTGGACCAGAACTCGTAAGAGAGACCACAGAGAAGGTAGCAGTAATTCGGGAGAGCATTCTTGTAGCGCAAAGCAAACAGAAGAGCTATGCAGATTAGAGGAGACGATCGTTAGAGTTCCAGGTTGGGGACTATGTTTTGTTGAGAGTATCGCCGATGAAGGGAGTTTAGTGATTTGGCAGATGGGGAAAGCTTGCCCCGGGGTATATTGGTCCATTCAGGATTGTTGAGCGCATTGGAGCCATTTTGTATCGGATAGATCTTCCAGCATCGATGTCGAGTATACATGATACGTTCTATGTTTCTATGTTTAAGAAACATTTACGTGACGAAGAGCAGCAACACGTGTTAGACGTGCCAAAGGTCGAGCTTCATGATGATTTTACTATGATAGAGATTCTTGTTTGTATTCTTGCCAAGGAGAACAAAAAGCTTACAAACAAAGTGATATCTTTGGTTAAAGTTCAATGGAACCAAAAAGGAGCTGAGGAGGCTTCTTGGGAGTGTACGGAGAGAATATACGTCGTGACTACCCGCACATGTTTGAGTAGGTAAATTGATTGATTTTGATTGGTGTTCACGATTATCTATATGGTCATATTTATATTTAACGCTAGAATAGGGGTATTAACACTTACCTCCTAATTATTTGGAACACATTGTATATATATGAGGGGTTCTTTATTTGGATTTTTCACCCGACGTACTATTTCTGCTTAATTTGGGGTTTAGTGGAAGTATTTGCATTCTAGATTGTTAAGTGTAGATATTGCTATGTTTTATATTTGGAGATTAATGGTACAAGATATTTATGTGAGAGTTTTCTTATTTGGATTATCCCCTAAACATGCTTTTCTGGTATTATTAATCTCTAAGATTAGATTGCGGAATTTCAGGGACGAAATTCTTTTAAGGGGGAAGAATGTAAAACCCCGTAAATTTGAATATATTATGATAAAAAATAATAATAAGTTATATGGTGATAAGTAACATTTATTAATATTTGTGTATGCTAG